TTTGTTCATGAAAATCCGCCATTCCGAAATCGCAGGAGGGTCGGTGTAATGCACTACCAAAACGCCCGTAACTAAGAAACAAATGCTAATTCGATGATGCCGGCTGGCACACTAATTCACTATGAATGTAGGCCGCACCCCCTAGCTGCAGAAGCTCATACTACATCCGGTTCGCCCTCTATTGACACAGTCTTGAAACTTTCCGATCGCACCTCGTATGTCCCCAAGTAAAACATTTTGGTATATGAGAAAAATTAAAACATTTTCCCTACCCTGCCATGCTTACTACTACATAGGCATTTGAACTTTTGGTAAGTCAGCCTGTCCCTGTCATATGTAATGTACTAAAATGTAGTATGCAAAGCGTTTAAATTAATTGGTGTCACACTAAAGGGGTAATATAGACATCATTATACTCATATAAAACATTACATTTGCTGTTCTAGTTCTTTCATCGAACACAATATTTTTTCTTCCACTTACATAAAATGACCAGCGAACACTGGTAAGCAGTTTACTTCATGCTTTAATGTCCTCCACAACCATTCACTTACCCACATACATAAAGATGTCCATTGTTTTCTCCTATTACTCTCCATATTTCATCCATGTTGTCCTCCAGTAAATGGGTCACGTAAACTTTATGGGCTTGATCTCTTGAGAATGCTACATGCATCTAGAATATGATTAAAATATATCTCAATTAAATTTTATGACAGGTTATATTCAACACTGTGTTAGAAAATTCAATGTTACATCTTGACACAAACTTTTCTGCCTCGCATAAGCCTTAACTACAGTGACTGGTCAAATTTCTATAACTATCTGCTGGTTTAGATGTTTCACAAAACCTTTGTGCAACTTGTTTTAAATATAAGTATTTGCATGCAGACTAATTTGTGAGCTAGGCATTTCTTAAAAATCTAATATTTATTACATCTAAATATGGTAATATATTTTCAGTGTTCCCTGTCTGTACTGGGTTCACTGTCCACTGCTCCCAGAATTACATAATGACAAAGCCATTTTGTCTTTATTGTTAAACATTGAATACTGCGGTATTGTGGGTACCACCACTGTTTGATGTTTTGAGATTACTTGGTTCAACCTTTCTGGGGTGCTACTGATGTTCTTGCTTTTCCTCATTCTCTCCAGACAAATATCAAGATTACCTACATTGTTTCTGATTATTTCTTACCATTTCCATCTCAGTTTTTCATTTATTATTATCTCCCTTGAATTTCAGATTACATAAATGTTTCAGTTGATGCAATATTATTAAACATAGAGCTTATATACACTTTCCTATAGTTCTGGCAAAGGCAGACTTGGTACTAAGCATTTGTGAAAAAAATGATATAAATATAAAAACTCTGTTTTCATAAACACAATTTCAAGGAACTCCTTTGGTATGATGTGCCTGAATTTAATGGCGCAAGTATTTGTAATAAAATTGACATTTTTATATATCCAAGTTCATGAACATGTTTAACCTTGAAAAGTACTGTATTCCAATGGTTTAACGTGTTATATTAGATTACAGCTTACCGTAAGGACACCCTTCTTGACATACTCATTGAGCTCTTCTTCATAAATGAAGTCTTCAGCCTTCTTACGGCAGCCAAAAAAGAGTACTGTGTCTCCAATACGTTTACCTACAATTCACAAAAGACAGAAAATGAAGTGTAGCGTTGTGCCAGGTGTACTAACAACTTAATATGCTTTCAGACTAAAATCACTAGCCCATCCGCTCTGCCCCTGTAGATCACAGTGATCAAATATTCTGATATTATTTTATATCATACCTGAAATAAAGTTCCTAGTAAACCAAACCTTTTTCTTCTCTTGTATTTCACAATAATTTCAGAATTTCTTTTTCAATGAGTACTTACCAGTTTTGGTTGGACATCAAGGTGAATTACAATATTTTAAAAAATAATAAAGTATGGAATAGTTTCCTTCAACCAGTGTTTAAAAAACTGAGAATTTTAAATGTGAATGTTAAAAATTATATAAATTTTTTGGGCTGTTGTCAGTCCACCATATCCCACTCATTTGAATCCTAACTCCCATAAAACTATTTACTGATCTGAAATGTCTCCATTACCAACAGGATTGTTTTTAACCATTTTAAATTTAATGATCAAGATGATAAACAAAGTTAAAGGTAAAAGCAAAATGTAATGAAGGCATGATGGGAACATGGCAGCACAGCTCTTAAAATTGTTAACTAAAACACTAGTTTGTGGTGAGTGGTCATCTGCAGGTTCAATCTACTTAACACTGGGGATAGAATTCCTGGTAGGAGATTGGGTGGTCCCAGAGCCAGTCCGGACAGTATGGTTTAGAGAAAAATTCCTGCCCCTACCAAGAATCCTATTTCAACCACACAGCTCCTAGTCACTTCACTACTGACTGAGCTGTCTTGGTTCCCTTGGCAAAACAAACTTAAATACAATGTGATCATCTATCAAATTGGACACCAGACATACACTGAAAATGTTAGAAATGTTGGGACATACAGTTACTTGTGAATACAAGAAACAATAAAATCAAATCATATTTGTCATTAAGCACCTCACAGTGAAAATGTAATGGGTGGCATCCATTATAAAACTTGGCACTACATGGAAGTGATTTTGCAGTAATACATACCCTCCTCTTTAAACTGATCCCTTTCCTGAATGAAACCACGGAAGGGAGCCAGGCCTGTTCCCGGACCAATCATAATGATGGGTGTCTGTGGCCTTGTTGGTAATCTGTAAAAGTACATTTATCATGATACAACGCTCCTAGCTTTATGACTAGTTCTGTAACTTGTAAATGGGTTGATGGTAAAACTACAAAGTCAGAAATTCCACTTATTTCAAATGTCTCGTATCACTTGCAGGCATCTTAGAATTAAAAACATAGACACATGGAACTGTGAGTATGAAGATTTCTGTCTTCTGGGTTGTTGTGCTGTGTAGTCTGGTCGATGTTAACCAACATTTCATCGCCCTGATGATGGAGGCAGTATGACCTCTGAAATGTTGGTTAACATTGACCAGACTACACAGCGCAACAACCCAGAAGACAGAAATCTTCAATGTTATACTTCTTTTACATTATTTGCGCAATAAAAAACAATGAAAGACCCCCCACCTTTTACATACAGTAACAGAAAATGCATAAAATGCTTTGCATGAAGCTTTAAACTGCATTCTGAGGAGATATGAAGTGCAGTTAGTGAAACAACAGAGAAAGCTCAACATTACTTTAATTCATAAGAGGTGAAAGATGAGATTTTTAGTGAATATTATGCAAACTTCTGCAGTTAAATACTGTGTAAATGGCAACAAGCTCAGAATTAAAGAATCAACTTGAACGATTATAATTCTCACTACACTGTGCATGTCTATACCATCCATTCAATCTAGAACATACCTTATATATGCCATTAGTACAGTAAAAGGCTAAACCAGTTCCAAACGAATATTTGACCACTTCTGTACCTGAACTGAGACCTTCGGATGTAAATTGGCGTGGTGATGGGTATTTCTGATTTTGATGGCTGCTTGGTTGCAAGCCAACTGGTGGCAACCCCTTTATTTATTCGGCTAGTTGGGGTCTCATACAGGACCAGTACGGCTGTAATGTGCACAGTTGTGGGATATACCTGTGAAATTGAATGTGAGTGATAAGAATAGAAAGAAATTATGTTACTGCATCATCACACATGTTATATTCCTGAAATCCAATTTTAAAAATTACATTTTGAAAGAGTTATACTTAAAGTAAACTACCTTCGGTGAAGATGAGATGGAATAGTAGCGAGCTTGTAGCCTGGGTAGTAATTCACACAGATGGTCCAATGCAGGTTTGCATGACCTGAGGTCTTCAAGGATGTGCACAATATTTCTGTTGTCTTGGATAATCCACTGGTTATACAACTGCTTACCCTCAGGGGTAGTACTAGCCATTGAACGGAGTTTCTCTTGCTCCTGCAATGAATGGATTGAGGTGAAATCTGATATAAAAACAGGAGTGCAAGATAATGCAAATAACAGGATTTCTTTCTGACAATGGACAATTCAGCATTCCTGTAATGCAAAGGATACCCTACACAAGATCATCAATTCCCTAAACATGACATCACTGTTTTCATCAACTTTCAGCTCACCACCAACTTCCCTTCCTTCCAACATTTTCCTTCTCCACTAAGAACTCAGTGTTAAATTCCCAGATCGAGCCTGGCAAGTATCCAATGATTTTGCCACAAATAACTTCTAGACAAGGCAGATTAGATGAAAGCCTTGAATGTAGTGTCGGTTCTTGCAAGGCTGACACCAATTCTCTGAATAAATGTCTTATTCCTACAAAGATATGAAATGGATCCTTTTTAACTTGTTTTCATCAATGTCATTAAGAACATAATGCATTAATTGCCTAGCAGAAATGCACATGATAAAATAACACTGATCTCTACAAACAATTTATCGATCTTTAGTGTTTTTTTGAAAAGAAAAGCTCTGCATAAGTTGGATTCGTATCAATAGTGAGTAATTGATATGACAATGAGAAATAATATGCATCTGTGAAAAATAAAAATTTTCTGAAAATCTCTGTCCAGAAGACAGCATTTCACACTGAGCCTACAAGTGGTAATTTAGTGCTCAGAGTTTCTTTTAATTCAGTGAGTCCAGCCATGTTGCCATATTTTCAAATGTTCAGAATCAGCAACATCATAATCAGCACTGTTACTTTGAAATGAGTTATGATGAAAGAAGTTGCACATTTAAGATATCAAATATCATGGCTGTGTAGTTAGATCTCTTGGTTGATGGATTCAAATCTAAACCTGGAGACTGGTTATCTTAACAGTGTTTTATGGTTTTCCTCAGTTCCTCCAGACTAATGTTGGAATGTAACCAAAAAATAGGTCATGACCATTTCATTCTATATCCTTTTTCATTCATCATTAACTATCATCCCACCATTTGATGCTGTATTACCTATACAGTTGAGAAATTGAAATTAAACAAACCAAAAAAAATCAGTCATACTCAAGGGGTTTTGTAATTCTTTACTTACTGAGCATCTAAATCTGGAATTCTAAAAATGAAATGTGGAAAAATCTGTAAGAAGGAACAAATATAAACTCTTTGCAGGATAGATATCTGCATTAAGAGGGTGTTCATACCTGAGGATCCTTGGTGTATTCAATAAGTTCTTTAAGGATGTGTGTGCGTGGGTTGGATGTGATGTCCAAGTAGTGAGTCAGTGCTGTGCGATAAGAACATGGACATGGGAATGGATGCTTCTTGTTTGATTCCTCTGGAACAATAAGAATAAAATATATGAAATCCTTTCCCTATGTTTCTACCTGTGTAATTCCTCTTTTCCCTAAAACATTGCCCAAAATGTCATTATTTTAATTTGAATTCCCCATCCTCTCCTAATAAATGACTTATAAACAAGAATATTGCAAGTTAAACTATAGGAATGTTGAAGTACCCATCAGTGGGTATGGGGACTGGCACCCCCGAGGTACCTGAGCTGCCCAGTGCCTGGGGATATAGCTGGGCCACCCTACCTCTGGGGGCTGTAAATATGGAGGTCTGATCATCCAGGTTGGGGGTTGGGTGTGGGGTTGACAATCTCACCCTGTAAAAAGCAACTTGTTATGAAATCAGATGAAGCAACTGCCGGATGGACTCATTCGTGGCGGACTGGCAAACAGATTGTCTGTGAATGAGGAGGAATGGAAGAAGCTTTTGAAGAAGTCCAGGCCACACACAGGGCTGTAGAGCCAATGATGATGATGTTTCCATTTTTTAAATGAAGTATTACCCAGGAACCCATAAAGTCTAAAACCAAATAAAATATATCCAGTTTTCTAGAATGTGGAAGTAAAGTTCAGGAAATTTCACACATCTAGAACAGATATTACTACTGATGAAAGTCTACTGATCTAATACGGTTTGGTGAATGCACAAAAATGAGCTTATTTCAGAATAAACGCATAAGATGCAATAATCAAGAAACTGGATGTGTCTAGCCCAGCTTTACATACTCAAAGAAAAGCAACATTCTTGATGACAAAAATAAAGATTCTGCCACATTATGAAATCTTCACTGGGCAAAGGATATGTCCTGATCACTGACATTTATCATTTGTCTTCAAAACTAGCTAACCTGCTCAGTTCTCACTCAGGAATGAGAGTAGCAAGAAAAGAAACACCTCAGTCTATGAAAAGTAAAAATCTGAATAGAGGGATCAAGGATGCCTTGTCAACATGCTTGGCACTCTGAAGAAATACACTATCATTGTTTGAATTATTGAAAGTTTTGCCAATAAATATGGCCTCAACCCTCTGGAAATAACATTATCATACAATAAAGTATATGAAAACACAAAAGACAAAATCTGTTATGACAGTTTAGATTGTCAATAAATGATTATAGAGTTGTCTTCTTCCAAATATGGATTAACCAGAATAAAACAGCTGAGAAACATTCTATCTGTTTTCAGTTCAAGGGAAGTGCCGACTTAGTTATTCGTAAAGAGCGCATGTTCATACCATCAGTGTTGGTGAGTGTGATTATTGTGTCCAGGTCCACATTAAGCAGTTCTCCCAGCTTATTCACCAACTCTTCATTATTAATGGGGTAAATAGCCAGATGGTCACCTGAAAACAATAAAACCATATTTCACATTTTGTACACAAACATGCTTTATGATATTTAAGTAAGTACAGATGTGTTATTAGTGAAAAAGTATGTCTAAAAACCAGATTTTCTGGTGAATGAGTTGATCTGGATTGAAGGATAGCAATATGATCATTCTTTCTGTGCAAATCCATTTTTCAATCCAACACGAATCCCCACTTTATAGTTTAGTCAGTCAAACCCATGTCTCACCTCACACACTTAGACTGGCTCCAACCCAAACTGACGAACTGGGTTATCTCTCCACTCATTTTCAGTTAAACCCCAGTCATGGTATCATCTTTACCTTGGTACACTCATTTTCCCATTGTATTTTATTTGGATAGGATCACGAATGTGACCACATCTAAGAGAATGGAGAATATTTCATCCAGAATGCTTGTATTTTTCCACTTGTTTCTTTCAAAACAGTTTTTCATCGTTTTATTTTTGAGGTATTATAACATTCTGTTCGACATTACAAGGAATCAACACGGCATTTTATCAAGGCATCTGTTATAAAATATTTTACTAAATTTTTTAATGGTTTGCTTTACCTGTTTCATATCTCATCCTGGAACCTTCAATGTCAAATTCGATATGCATGCAGGATCGGTCTCCACTCTTGTGCAATTCCCTGTTTACCTTGATTGCTGCCAGGAATGGATTTTTGGCATCAAATGGCCTAGGAAGAAATTGAGAACATAAGCTGTGCAATGAATACATTATATGAACATCTTTTACTGACAATGAATAATGAAGCTCCTTTGCTTCATTATGTATTCTTTTAACTAGACATTAATAAGTGCCCTATTCTTATCATCTTGAAGAAATTTTAAATTTATATTTATATCTGCATTAGACTAGGAGAATCATGTATGTTTCTTTTATTTTATTTTATGAACTTAATTTAATTCAATAGAATGATTTCATTTCAAAGATTTTTTGGCAGTTTGAAATTGTATGTTATATCAGTGCCTTTTCACATAAAACAAAAGTAATAAAATTTGTTGATGAAAAACTGAGGTAATATTGGACTTCAAATTTATAAACTGCTGTCAGGATATAACCATTTTGCTGTTTTTTATACATGAAATTCAAAACTTCCTTCTTTATACTATAAAGATTTTTTTTGTCAGAAACTTAAAAAATAAACCCTCCTCCTTCCTGAGTGCACCCATCTCTTGATTTATGATCATAATTCGTTTGATGACAACTGTTTGTAAGTTGAGAACTCACAAATGAAAAATAAAATTCCCAATAATTTCAATGTACAAAATCCTGATTGGTTCCCGACTCCCACAAAAGTCACCCAATATTTTTTCCACATTTATTGGAATACTATAATAATATAATAATATTACAACCTTAATATCTGTATGTATAATGATCATACAGAATCAATGATAAACAATTAAACGATTCTTTGTTTAGTGAAAATGTTCATAAATTGAAAACTACCAGTAGGTATAAATTTAAATGGTGTATTTAAGCCAAAATGCATAAGTAAGTTCATAAATCAGGGGATAAGTGTACTAACATTTTAGTTTTTCATTCATTCATTTACTTCCACTACAAAGATTGTGTCATTGGCCCATTCCAGGACAGTTGCTCAAGGCAGCTTGTCCTTATTATTCACATTTTAGTTTTTAAAAAAATAAAGCCAATAATACTGAAACTAAAACCAGAAAAAAGATAAAGCGGCTATTTAGCGGCCTTAACAATCTTCTGACCATGATTTGTAACAAGTTTCTGCACAGACCCAAGAATTCCAAAGTTGAATTATTTATGGTTGACCACTGGACGTACCCACTGAAATTCTGAAGGAATTTTGAAACATGTAATTTGGCATTTGAAATATTTTCTCCAAAAGAAAAAGTGGCAAATCAGCATTAGAGTAAAAACAGAAAATTTAATGTCTCATTTTTAATTTACCATTTTAATGATATTCTATCTTAAAAAAGAAGAAAAAGAAATTATGATTACTTTCTATTAAATTCTTCTATTTGTATACTGATATCAATAAAACACGCAAATGGACAGCACAACTTTCATCCGCTTGAAAATTTTTTGCTAATATAAATTTATTTCCCATAAAGATAAGCATAACCTCAATGTTCTGAGGTGTACCATAATTTAATGTAATGTTCAACATCTGTAACTAGTGGCTTTCCAGAGGCAAGGCCAATTCTAAACAAGGTTAATAAAAGACTTACGCCCTCTGATTCCTTAGCGAGTGTAGACGTGCAACTTCACCAGAGTATATACGATCATTAGGAACATCAGGATGTTCTGTAAGTCTGTACTGTCTTACACTCACATCTTCACCTGTTGCTTCAATGTCAAAGAATTCACAAACTGCTGGCCAGAATTTGTCTTTCCATGTGATAAAATCATCTTCAATACTGTACCATGAGAAACAAAGTTGTATATATAATTAATAATAATGAATAACTGATAAATAATATTTTAACTAAATTATCACCATTGATTGTAAATTAATATCATAACCCTTTGAAGTATGAAGCTCATTCAAATAATACTTAAATAAATATTCAGTTCCTACACCAAAGAAAACATAATGAAAAATCATGATGTGTATCCATTGCAGAGCAATTGGTCAATTCTGTGCTGATAATAACGTTTTATTCTGAGAACCATATGAAACCCATGAACACATCTGTTGGGCAAAATGCAGTTAAAACATGAAGCAGGTAATGCATATAGTAACCACCCTGTGCTTTAAACAATAATATGAAACTACCAGTTTGTCTGAAAGATTTAAGCAATGGTAAATTGTGATAAAAGTAGCAAAAATGGGATTCTGAAAAATGTATCGATGATATAAATTAGAATTATAAGGATAATAACAAAAGACATTAATAAGAATGGCAAAGCAAGAGTTGTGAGAAGTTGAGGAAAAATCTTATAAACACAAAAGCAATTTATGATCTTGCTGGCTTACATGTTCATTTACTCCACATAAAAATCTGCTATCAAGAAGTATGGACACATGAACAACTAACAATTATATTAACAGAAAATGATCCCCTTACCTTCGACAAGCTGTTAATATTACAAAGTTAAAAAAACTCCTGGTCCAGATGATATCAATATATAATTAATAAAAACTGCATCACCATCCTTTCTCTTAATATTTTTATAATTCCTAAATATATGCTGGAAGTCTAGTTCCATGCCTGATGAGTGGAAATAAGCAGTGGCATTCCCAATATTTTAAATAGGCAACAGAAGAGAGACCCCTCAGGGACCCACATCAGTGGGTACGGGGACTGGCACCCCCGAGGTACCCGAGATACCCAGTGCCTGGGGGCATAGCTGGGCCACCCTACCTCTGGGGGCTGTAAATACGGAGGTCTGACAACCCCACCTTGTAAAAAGCAACTTGTTACAAAATCAAATGAAGCAACTGCCGGATGGACTCATTCACAGCGGACTGGCAAACACCGAGGAAGAATGAATGAGGAAGAATGGAAGATGCTTTTGAAGAAAGCCAGGGCCGCACAGGGCTGTATAGCCAAGGAATGAAGACATCAGACAGGAACTAATATATCTGACCTATGCAAAAGAGAGAGAGAAAATATTAACAAAACTACGTAATATGGACACATCTCAAGAATGCCAACTAATCGAATTCCAGAGAAAGATGCCAACCAGTCAAGAGCTTGAGGGACCAATTTGACTAATCCTGGGATCTGAACGGGCCAAAAGGCCAACCCTAGCAGATGAAGGTGATGCTGCTGACAAGTTTGA